ATCACGAATGACCTCATTGCTGACAAAAATAAGCCGCTAGCGGCAAGGGCGAAGCCCATGACCTCAGAACTTCAACTTACGAATAAAGCTTGTTTTAGTCGTTATTGAAAAGTTGAACTTTTCAGCAAAGCAAGGTTGACATGACTTACATAAGTCGAATGCAATCTCTTGACCATCATAAAGTGCTTTGTAAAGTTTCATTAAACTGAACTCAGAGTCTTTGTCATATGTTCCAACAGGTATGTGAATGTTCTTATCTTCATTGTAATAGCATTGTATAGCTTCAGGAAACATTTCATTAGCGGTTAAAGCAATAACATCTTGCTTCACGCCTTTCATTCTGCAGTGAAATGCAACTTCATTTAAATCGTTAGTGGAGTAAGTCTATGTAGGTCTTCTTTCCACAGAAAATACTTTTATAAGCTAAACTTTGTTTCAGGTGTTATTTTCTGCAAAGTCGCTATGAAAATTGGACCAAGGTTCTTTCCTATAAGTTCGCAGGACCAATATCTATTCTTAAACCCTGCTGCAAGCTTTGGTATGTCTTCATTATATAAGTGCATACTGTCGGTATCCTGGTAAAAAGATTTGAAGACCCATATCTTTCAGCAGTACAGAAACTTCATTCATAATACGTTTTGACATAGACAGAATATTAAACACCAAGTGGACAGAAGTTAAAGTGTCTGCAAATGCTTTTCGTTAGCTTGAAAATAGTTTTTATCTGAACCATCCAACCTTCGAACTTACTATATGGTTGTAATTTCTTATAGCATATCTTTATAGCATTTTGTCATTTACTATGGTTATTTTTGACTCAATAGGAGATAGAATGTTTTGCCATAAATATGCTGTTCAGAATGAGTTTTTATTAATTCTTGTAAGGGGTTTCCTTCTTTCTTATACTTTAACCTTAATCAAACAATTCTTTTACTTCATCTCTTATTCTCATATCTCTGTTTCCATCGTAAATAGTATCCTTGCAACACTTCACATTTGACACATTGATATTTATGAGGTTCTTGTAATGTTATATGGTCAACATACATGAGACAGCAAGTGTTTGAACTTCTTGGACGTTAATTTCTGGATTTAGTTTCAGGGTCGCAAAACTATTAAATGAAAGTGTCTGGGTATACCATCTCTGTTATCTTAATGAGAACAAAGAAGCCCAGACATAAACTTTCACCAATGGGTTCCTTTTGGTCATCATCGAATAAATGTCTCATGAGATACTCTGTGCTTTAAACATTTCTTCTTCAATACTTTTGGAATACCTTCTAAAGTATAAGTCTTGCTAATAGCTGAAGGATATAATGAAACAGTGTCGAAGTCAGCAATGAGTTTCTTTTTGCTCTTTTGTTTCATGTTATCTGACAACCATACATCTTCCACCTTGAATGCATCTCGAAATAAATTCTCTTGGTTTATTTGAGAGGTCATAAAGATTTCCATTCGGGAAGTAAACTCTGTTCTCAAACAATTTGTTAGCAATAGAACAAATACTAACGTAGTCATAAAAGTTTAAATCAAAACTCTTCAATAGTCATTGCGGACTTTACAAAACCTTCTCTTAAAATTCTTAACATCTTTTTTGCAGTAAAGACGTGCTATATTTTTCTAAGTCGAAGTGGTTTTCATCTAGTGCAACCTTGATGGAATCTATGTTTTTCATGAATGTATCTGCCATCATGGATAAACTTACAATGCTTCAGAAATTGACACCATTCTGTTGTCATTTGCTAACAAAACCACTGTAGTAGTATATGGAAATACTTTCTTTCGGTCTCTGTTTGTAAGTTAAACATAGAGCGATAATGTTTTAAAGCCTTCTTTATTTATAACACGTGTAAGAGTCTTTTATAATAATTGCCCGTCCTTTATATAAACCAGTTTGTTGCATTGTTCGTGCAACCTTAAATGATGGGAGTCTCCTTTCCTTTCTGTCATGTGTCCTTAAGATGAAAGGTTTAGTGTCATAACTGAGGGTTGTGGAAATATATTGAAACTCTTTGTCAGGAAGTCTTTCAAAAATTTGTTGCTAGGTGCAGTTTGTTGACCCAAACTGGCTTTCACTCACTGAACCATCTTCAACTGTCATAACAGATGTTAAAAGCTTTATGAAAGCCGTCTGTGCTACACTCAAAAGTCAGCAAAGAAACCGTGCTCAGGGAATGGAATTTACATTTAGCTTTTAACTTTAGCTTCTTAATTGACTATCTGGCTTTCTTCGTTCAGTTGTACGACATACTTTTGG